GCTGTTGTGCTGCTGAAGTTCTCTGGTGTAAATCACTCTCACCCACGTCATTTCCCCTTCTTTGATGTTGAGGGTGGGTGTTAAAAAGACTCAACAAAGTAGAGCTGTACTCTCCTTTGGTGGTGAAGGTCAACTCCAGGGCTAGATGAGTTTTACCACATATCATCAGTTGATGCAGAGTCCTTTATAAAAGAAAACAAAACAAGAAATTAAAGTAAAGCTTGCAGGTGGCTAAAACACATTACTTTATGAATAAGGTTTGGAAAGTTGATTTTTAGAATATATTACTTATCTATAAAATACCATATTTAATTTGTTCAGAGCTTTTGACGGTTTTGTTTAAATACTTAAAAACTGGTTTGACCATGAGGTTGACCAAATATATTTCTAAGCCAATAATGAACTTTTATTGCGTTAAAAAGAAAAAATTAGGGTCTCAAGTAATACAAGGTTACAAAATGTTACATATAAAAATTATTTCAGAGTTGTGTCCAAATGGTATCACTTTTCTTTAAAAATTATACTATAGCAAAATTCCAACAGAAAACTTCATTGGAGAATGTGGCATTTTATGTCTATATAAAGAGAATTTTCCATTTTCATATTTAAATAAAGTGTACACTTCATAGTTTCAACCTTAAAAACTATTCAGTAAAGTCAAATATTCTTAAGTTAAATGCTGACGCTGCATACAAAACTGAAAATTTCAAGATTTTAAAGTTTAAAAAAATATGTTTGTTGTTGCCGTGAGATGCCACTGAGTTGGTTGAACATGACTGCTTGTAGAAGCTTACAAAACCCAAAATAACGCAAAAGAACTTTCTTCTTTTCTGAGAGGTGGTTACTCATTATAATTGTGTCCTCAATCACCAGAACTATGGTGCAGGCAGAGACCAGAGCAACCAATCAGGACCATGTGTAAGAGGGAGAGGTGCAGTGAACAGCCCTGAACAGGTAGGAAGGATAGGCATTTAGAGCAAAGGGGAAGCAGAGGGAGCTCAAGTGCTACTTACAGTGTCATCATTTTTGTAAGGATTCAGTCTATTGTAAACAGCTTCAATTACATTCCGCCTAATTGGGGGGGGGGGGGAAATACGGAAAATTAATTCTTCAAAAAGCAAAACATTGCCTAAAAACTCAAACCGAGGTGTTTTCATTAAAGGGTCAGAGATAGGTTTTGGTCTATTTATTTCTTGCTTATAATATTTAAGATACTTGGGTCCCAAAGATAAAAACTGAGGTGAATTCACTCTAAAATGTAGCATTCCACCAAGTCAGTTAATAGAAGGCTATACAATCTACTTTTATCTGAATCGTCTTATTGGTTATTAGTCAGCAATGACAATGCAGTTCTTACACATAAATATATTGTTGTTAAGTGCCGGCAAGTCAATTCCCATTCAGAGCCACTCTTTATATGGTTTACAAGGAACGGCTGTTCAGTTTAAACCACTGACCTTGTGGTCCAGTGCTTATCCCACAGCACTAAACTCTATGAATATACTTTGTTGCTGTTAAGTGCTGTCAAAGTCAGTTCCAACTCAAAGCAACCCTGTATAGGATTTCCAAGGAGCTGCTGATTGGTTTGAATTGCCGACCTTGTGGTTTAACAGTCTAGTGCTTATCCGTACAGCGTCACACCAAACACCATGAATACACTAGGAAACTTCAAAAAGTTCATGGAGAAATGGAATTTTTCCATGAACTTTTGGCACTGTAGGATAAGCACTTAACTGTTAACCACAATGTCAGTGGTTCAAATCCATCAGCTGCTCCTCAGAAACCCTAGACAGGGTCACTACAAGTCAGAACTGACTTGGTGGCATTTAACAAAAACATATACTATTATGTCATGTATTAGTTTTGAAGTAGAAATAGCCTTCAACATATTTATGGTAAAAAATTTTATATTTGAGACTTACGTTTCTGCTTTTCTTCATGCTTAAAAATAAAAGCGTTATTATAACTCAAATGTCAAATACGAAATTTCCCTGATAAATACAGGAATGTGTTTTTGAGTAATATTTTGTTAAAAAATCTGTGGTATTTTTAAGTTACCGACTCCCTGACTCCAAAATCAATATGAAACAATTTTAGAGGTAATAATTTCACAGAAGATCATATTGGAAGGAAACTTTCCAAAAAATAAAAGCTTTAACAGGCACTTTTAAAATCACTATTTAGAAAAATGATTATAAAAAATATGGTTAACATTGCAAAATACAGTTGGAGAATAAAGAAAACTGGTGAACAAAAACAAGATATACCAAATACGGAAATTTGACTACAAAATGTTTGAAGGCTTGAATTATAAAAATGCTTGAATTCTCCTTCTAAAGATGTGTTAACATTTAACCCAAATTAGTCCTGTTCTATCAGCTAAAGTAGAAAGGGAAAAAGGCAAGAAATTAATCTTTCTGTGTTCCCTGATTCCCAAACAATCAGCAATCAACAACAAAACACACTAAAAAAATCATCGATGTTAAGAAGATGGCCCAGATAGAGAGGAAGATGCTACCCTTGAGATATGAAGAGTTATTCAGGGGTTGACACAATGAAATCATTAGTAGTAATAATGACAGAATTTTACAGTGCTTCTTATGTGGTGCTATAAAATAAGCACTGAACTGCTAACCGTAGGTGGGTGGTTCATACCCACCAGCTTCTCCTTGGAAACTCTATGAGCTGGAACTGACTCTATGGTACTTAACAGCATGTAGTTTTCACTGTGCTTCACTATCTCAGTTATGCTACACAAGGAAGTTAATGTTTATTCAAGTTTCTCACTGAAGACAAATCTTTAGTGTAATTAGTTACAATGACATTCTGATAGCTATTCTAAACAAGTACCACACATCACTGATACTAAAAATCAAGTTACATAAAATATTTTGGAAACATAGATAATGGCAGCACTTTACAAATTAGACAAACATCTGATAAACATATACCTAATATTTTCATATAAAGCACAAGAGTGTGCAGAATGTAACTTACTTGCTTGCTAATTCACCCCCTGGTGGGAGGCTGGGGATGTTCTCACTTGATAATGTGCGCATCACATGGACTAAGTCAGGGACGCCTTCCCCCTGCTTCTTTATGATTTCTGGGAATCAGAAGTACTTTTTTTGTAAGTGCTATCCACATATACTTTTTAAACTGAAACAAAGATAACTTAGTTTTTTAAAGATGTCATTTACCACATCTGAGATATTCTAAACTGGTGTCATATAAATATTTTTAAAAGTTTACCTTGTAAAATTTAGGATAAAAGGGTGCACAAAATGACATAAACAATGATAGACTTTTGAGATTAACTATTAAAGATAAAATTGTGGGGAAAAAAGCATTTCATATCAAATCAATGTATTATATAATTAAGATTAAGAACAAGTGTGTACAAATGAGAATATCCTTTTAAATATGCCAAAGAATTACTTCTGAGGAGATTAACTCTTCTTCAGACTGTAAATGTGTTTCCTGAACTTTGTCCTGTAAAAATACATGGCAGATTAAAAAAAAAAAAAAAAATTCAAAGATTTGAAACAAAAACAAAACCACCACCTTTATGTATACGGACATTTATTGATTACGTACTACTCTGAAACATTTTTTATATATGAATACTTGCAAAATGGTAAGTAGCACACACAGATTAGGTAATGAACATCACTCTCAGCTTAAGTATCTTTGAACAAATCGATATAAAATACCACTTTCCTCAGTTGATTATCGAAACAAAGATTTCAATGAAAAAATATAAATGTCGTAACATTTTTTTAAAAAAGAAAATATTGACAAACCATACAACTGTATTTAAAATAATTTTAAACAATCAGTTACTAAATGGGCATAGTGATATGATCTGCAATGTTGTTGTGCAGATAGATGTATTTTGTTACTCATACCACAGAATACCAAAAATGATGTACAAAGTAACTTAACAAAGGATTCTAAACTATTCATTTCAAGTATGGAAGTCTTCTGAAGTTTTAGCACACTTAACTCGAAATGCAAGATCATACCAAAGGTATTTGTAACTTGTATTTTCAAGTTTTGTTCAGGTTTTTGTTTTTCAATGCTTATAATAATTTTTTTTTTCCTTTTAGTCATCATTGGGTCAATAAAATTATGATTCGAGCTCTCAATTTGTAAATATATATGAAAGTAACAATGCATAAAGATCTTTCATTTTCTGATCCAGTCTCAAAATATTAATCCACCATTAAAGATACATTTTAAAAAACAGACAATGCTACCCATGTTTCTTTAAATGGCTCAAAATGTTTTTAAAATTAAGGCCAAATTTCACCATCTATCATTTCTTTCTTTCTTTTTTTATTAAAACCACTCTTAAATCTGAACAAAAAGCAAGGATCTCAGATTTGGTTTGCCAAGTTCCTTTATTGTATATTCTTTAACATCTAGTATATTTATTCTACATGGTTCTAATGCTGAAAATTTGCTTTACAAAAATAAAGGGATTTGATGTTTACCTAAACTGCACAATTTCACAATCTAAATCTGTAACACACTTAACATACAGTCTCTGCTAAGCCAATACAATTATTTGGATAAATAACTAGATACAACAGAAATGAACACTGATGATAAACGCAATCAATGATGGTTTCAGGTCTTAAAAAAATTACCTTGGATGACCTATATTTGATGTATCTTACATCTCCTTTGTTAAAATATAAATTAGGGTATTGTAACTATGAAGAGAAGTACAGGAAAGCAAACAAGCTCTTTGAAAAAAAATAATGTAAAGTTTTATAAATACGTAATATTCCTATTCCATACGGGGCAGTCCATTTAAACTACCTGACCATTTACACTAGATCACAGCCTTGCTTCTTTCTGATTTTAAAAAAGAAAAAGAAATGAACTTTAAGAAATATTCCTTTCATTGCTCTTATACTATAAATTTTAATTAGGATAGTAAAAACAAAAAAGAAATTTGTCATTAAATAATATATATGTATAAAATGATCCATAGTATTTCACAAATGAAGGGGCTTCAAAAATTTATGGAAAATGAAGTGAAAAGATAATGAATTATCCTTTTTTTTTTTTGGTATTATTTGCTAAATAAATTTTTTGATGCTCCCTCATTCCCTTATATATGTGTGTATACACACACACACACACACACACACACACACACCTTCTGCTCTCCCCTATTTTCCTCCCCCAAGTCTGAGGAATTCTATTAGTAATTTCCAAATTAGTAACTTTAAAGCTCCAGTAGTTAGTAGCAAAAATTTAAAATCCTCACAGGCAAATATAATCTTAAATTGGCTTAGACAGACCGCACACTTAATAGATGTATGGTTGAAATTACAAGTTAAATCTTTCCATGCCCCAGCAAGGGTAAGTACTCAGGAGGACAGAGAGATATTAAGAGAAAGGAGAGTTAAAAAGTCTTTGTTCTTTTCTGTGTTGTAGACAGAGAAGAACAAGTGTTCAAAGCAAATAACATGAAGTTTATCAGGTCACAGGAATTTAGTGAAGACATGTATTTATAAAAAAAAGAATGAAGGAAAGAAAAGAAAAGGGTATTTGGTGCCTGCGCTTAGGAAGTAAAATGTAGTATTTTTTAGTTTTTAAGGCATTACTTTTACAATGCAAAGTTACATTCTTTCTGTATTTGTAAATAGCAGCAGTTTTCATTAATGGAATATCTATTTTCTAGTTGCAGTTTCATCAAATCTGCCTCAGTAAAGAATACCATAGATTTAATTTATGACACATAATAATCTCCAATTGAATGGTACAAGTATAATAACACTTCAACATACCAAAAATAACAAGTATTAACATAAACTCTGCTCAGGTAGCAAGTCTCTCAATAATAAGCAATATAAAACTTAATATTATAACAAAGTGTGTGTCTAAAGTAAGTAGTTCATAATTACATCAAAAACTTACACTAAAGAAGAAAGGAGCGATTCCTTTCTGAGATGTCTCCCATTTCATAGTAAGTGCAACTAAAATGCGTACGTGTCTTTAAACCAGTAAGAAAACACCTACACTCTCCCCCCGAGTTACTGTAAAGTGCTAATACATTCAATATCAACTTATCCCTACACATAGTCTTACGGTTTCATGTTTTTCCCCTAGTGAACAGTGTGAACTAATGCGATGATTTTGAAACATTCTGAATCTGTTATTTTACCACATTGTCTAGAAATAACTCATTAAAAGGGTTCATTTAAATTATAAAAGTTTCCCAAGACCCTTGGTAATATTAGAAAATAAATTCATTGATTAGTAGTGTCCAATGAATGAAATACTAAATAAATAGTACATACACATCCTAGTTATCATTCTATCAAGGTGGGAGAGGATAATAAAAACGAAGTAGCAGCACTAGACAGTACTGAAATATCAAAAACAGTGATTCTAATATCCAACTTATATCCAACAGTTAAAAGGCAAAAACAAAATTAAAGTGCATATTACTTTTTCAATGCAGGCACAGCAGGAGTTAATAGTGTGATAGGTCAATGCTTGCATGCTATTAGAGGTCTTGGACATGAAAATTAATGGCATCAGAAGCCCAATATGCATTTTAACACTATCATATTCAAGTTTTCTATTTTTAAAGAAACTGCAAGTCTGTATGCTATTGCATATAGGCAGTAAATTGGTATTTACTAGAGTTTAACTTTTATACCAAGTAGTAGTTACATCAAGGATAATTTAATTTTTCAATTATTTAAAGGCACTACACTTGAGTTAAAAACATCTAATTGTCTAAAAGCAATTTTTAGAATGATGACAAATATACTCCTAGAATTCCCAACTTATATCTGATTTTAGCATTGATATTTCTGCCAGGTAGAGGCTTACTATGTCTTTCATTCAAGTCTATCTCATTTTCTGTAAGAAAATCTACGTTTAGACAATCCTTAAATTTGGAAAAAATTTCCTATGACAAAGCTGTGTCATAGGAAAATTGTAAATAAAACTACCAGTTACAGAAGAAAAAAGAAAAAAAAAAACAAAACAGGAAAAAAGTAATAGTACTACTAAATTAATGGACACAGCTTTCCACAGAAAGATGGTATTCAAATTATCACCATCATAAATAATGCTGAATTTGTAATTCAATAAACCATAAATCAGATTGTCCTGGCATAAAATTACTCATGCCAGTGAAGTCAGTAAGCATTTTTTTTAAAGCACACACACATTTTAACCTTTTAAAACAAAAGTATCTGGAACAAACTGTACAGGGTCACACTACTGATTATTTCTAATATAACTGTGATAGGACAATCAACATACATCTAAACAGCTACAGAAAGTCCTTTCCCACAATTATACACTAAACACTAGACGTCAAAGCCATGTAAAGATGTAAAAGCTAAAAATTTAAAATTTGATTGTGTTGAAGGCTTTTCTCTAATAAAGTTACTTATTTTTTGTTAAATGATCCACCTTCTACTCTGCATTCCAGGTACTTGTCCAACTCTGCCTCCTTCTTCACGGCTTCTGGTGATACTTTGGGTGCATTTGGAAAACAGATCAATATCACACTCATGTTGTCTCGACTTCCCTGGAAAGAAAAGAGTTTGAGAAAATAGTTTTGGGTTTTTTTTGCCTGTTCATACAACCTCTTCAAAACCTTGAGAATCTTTACAGCATGCCAATAATGATTGTTATTTGTTCTAGTGAGAATTACTGAGTCCTGGTATGGAGCTAAAGGATAAGCACTGGACTGCTAACAATAAGGTTAGTGGTTCAAACCCATCAGTTGCTCCTCAGAAATCCCATACAGAGTCTCAATGAGTAAGAACCAACTTGATGGCACTAAACAACAACAGTGACATTAGGTATTATCTTTAAGGATAAAAGAAAAATGTATGTGTTTGGGTATAGTATATAGTATATATTGTATAAACCAACACTCCAAAAGACAGGAAAGAAACATGACAAGTTTCTACTGTAATAATCACTTCTTTAAATTCTATAAAACAAGAAATTTCTAGGCATTCACACTAATTAACTCGAAGTGATACTTAACATATACATACTCACAATCACCCAACAATAGAAAATTTCAGTCATATTTCTAAAAACAGGGTCTGACCTGTAGTTAGCTTGCATATTTGACAAATTTACATTTAAAACAAGCACTGTGAGTTTAATTTATTCACCTCATAAAATGAACACATGGAATCAGAAATTAAACTAAAGTTTATAAAGCACCTTTAGTTTCATAATTAAAAAACTGACCTAATTTTTAGAAAATATATTCATTTTAATAGTACTAAGTATTTAAAATGTTTTAGCTGAAATACTGGAATAATTGATGGCCTCTCCACAGCCTCCTTTCTATTAGTAACTGGAGATAACTTTTACATTTTAAGTATTTAATTTTGGCATGCATGGAAAACTGACCTTATACTATTAGTTTAAAGAACAAATAATACTGAATAATTTTTAAAAGGAAACACAGAAACATGGTGCCTCAGCCATAATTTCTAAATATATGAATCTGACAATTTCCTTAGGAAAATGGTTTTTTACTTATCTAACAAGTATTTTAATTTTCAAAAGCTACAAAATAAATCCACTTTATGCATACTAAGCTAAAAGAACATGTGTACATGAAATCACTTTTTGGTTCTCCCCAAATTCAGAGATTGGCCTCTGTGTGCACGATCCTATCATCTTTTTGCTCTACTATTTTTAAAAACATATGGCTGGATATTACAGAAATCTGATTTTTATGTACAATCAGATTTCAACTAAGATTGTTAGTAGAGCTGGCAGTATATATAAAAAAAACACTAATATTATGTAGGCTTTTATTTTTGCATGCTAAAAGAAAATTAAACTCATAGTCTGAGATTTTTATAAAAATCAACACTCGTTCTCGAAAAAAAACAAAAACAAAAAACTCAAAAGAATTAATGAACATTACTGACAACATATAAGAGAATTTAGAAGAAAGGACACTAGATTCTAGCCTTAGTGCTGCTACTAAAAGCAAATTGTGTATTCCTGGAAAAATTGCGTAACTTCTCTAGGAAAGGGAGCAGCTGATTGTATCAAGTGCATAAAATGGGGCTTCAAAAAGTTTGTGTAAAGATACCATTATCTTTCAATTCCATTTTTCTATGAATGTTTTTGAAGCCAACTTGTATTATCTGCTAAACTAAGCACTTTATATACAAGGGCTTTCAAAAAGTTCATGGAAAAATGGACTTAAAACAGCATTTTTCCATGAATTTTTTAACGACACATTGTGTGTGTACACACACACGTTCATAAATTTATTTCCTCAATAGTCCTACGAGTTAGATACTATCATCTACATTTTAGAACTGACAAAACGAAGTTGAGCAATTTAAGACGGTAGAGTACAAATATAAGAGTTAATTATCTTGATGCAGTTCTGTCTGGCTCTTCAGTCCATAGAGCATTTTCTAGCTTTGACTTCCTCATCTGAAAAACAAAGGGGCTGAGCTAGTTCATATTATGAAGGGGCTTCAAAAACTTGTTTAGGAAAAATGGGATTGCAAGATTATGGAATTTTTTTCACAAACTTTTTGAAGTCCCCTAGTATGTAACTGGAGTCCTGGTGTGGCAATGGTGGGTTAATGTGGCAGAATGCAAAGCCGTCTGAACTGCAAGGTCAGCAGTTCAAGCTCACCAGCTGCTCCTTGGAAACCCTATACAGGGTCGCTATGGGTTGGAACCAACTTGATGACACTTCACAACAACAGTATGTGACTGGAGTCCTGGTGTGGTTAATGCGCTGGACTGCAAGTCTGTTTGAACAGCAAGGTCGTTGGTTCAAGTTCACCAGCTGCTCCTGGAAAACCCTATACAGGGTCACTGTGGGTCCAAACTGACTAGGTGGCATGTGATTGTATTCGATTGTTATAATACCCCATTAGATAGGGTAATATATTAAATAAACTGATTTTCCAAAAAAGTTTACGTAGCTTACCTAAGTTAAATCATCTCAAACCAAGTTCTTCTGACTCTTTAGTGTCCAGACTTATCCTAGCTCATCATACTAAATAGACTTTAGTCTCAAAGTGTTGCTATAAAAGGTACCAAGATATCACAAGGTAAAAACAATTCTAAAATGTTCTTCATTTATAGACACTGAGGTCTAACCCTCTCCATTCTCTTTTAAAATATGAACTGCAGTATAATCTCTCATATAGTTAGAAAGCTCAAAATAGTCAACATTATTAACATTAAACATTCAGATTAGAGCCCTTGCATAGACGGCAACTGAGTAATAGTTTATTTAAAAACAACTGTTCTCATGAAGTATTTTAATACTTGTTGAACTATCCTAATAATGTCAAAAATGTTTTCTGAAAACTACAAATTGAAGATGATTAATACCAGTGCTATAATTAAAATATCGTGGGTTTTTTGTTTGTTTGTTTGTTTGTTTTGAAAGTTTAGCTACCTTATACAAACAGGTGTCGACTACTTCATTGCAAACTTTTTCAAGGTCATCAGTGACTTCAAGTCTGGATCTTACAAAATCACAGAGCTCTTCATTTCCCATAACATCCCAGATACCGTCACACGCAAGGATAATGAACTGATCATCTTCTTCTGATCTTTCAATATCATAGACTTCAGGCTCTGGTGAGACAAGCTGCTCTGTAGGACCTTTTCCATGGACACATTTGTAATCAAAGTCCCCAAGGGCCCTTGACACAGCCAGAGAGCCATTTACACGCTGAATCATCACGGAACCACCTGCGTTCTGAATTCGTTCTTTTTCCAGCGGATTACTTGGTTTGTGATCTTGTGTGAAGAAGTGAACTTTCCGGTTCCTACAAAGTAAGCCTCTTGAATCTCCACAGTTAATGAAGTAAGTATGATGGGGAGAAATTAAGACACCCACAGCTGTTGACCCACTTCTATCTGCACCATGTTTCTTCTCTGACATAACTCTCATGTGTTCATCAATCTCCAGGAAACCTGTTCGGATTCCATTCTTTACATTTTCCACAGAAGGTGCTCCTGCAGACCCTTTAAAATCTTGGTTATTGGTGATATGATCTAATAAATGCTCACAGCAGTATTTGGCAACCTGAGAACCAGCATGCCCATCATACACAGCAAAGAACGACCACGTTTCAAGTCCACTTGGCAAACCAATCACAGCCGTATGTGCATCCTCCATCTCAACACGCCAGCCTTGCATGCTGCTTAGTCCGTAGCGCAGCCCATTACCCTGCCCCTGGGCATTATGTTTTTCCATCTTTGGCTTGTCTAAAAATGCTCCCATTATGTCTTGATATTCTAGGTCTGCAAAGGAAGAGAAACAAAAAAGTTACTGTCTTATGCATGAAATACATATCCAATAACTTTTTTTTAAGAGTGAAGGAGATACATAGAGAGTTTCAAATAAGAACTCACAACTCTTGTGATACGCAGATACTTTGTTGCCGACTTGAAATCTGAAGAAAAGTCAAGGGAAAGGTTGATCAAAGCTCAGAATTGGCAACAGACAGATGCAAAGGAAATCTGGCAATAGCCACCAGCTTACATAAACCAGCCAAGTTTTTAAGGATGTACCAAACATGTGCAATCTCATGAGGAATCTCAAAACCAAGTTGTGCAGTTGTACGGGTATCATTCAAGAAAAGCCTACTAGACGAGTTCAAGCATTCAGGATTTTCTATATTTGATTCCAAACTACCTTGATTTACTCACATCACATTAACCCTCTGCAAAGGTCAAAATTATCTACTCATGATGTTCCAAATTTTCACGTTCCTTCCTTTAAGCCTTTGCTCCAATAACTCCTAACAGGGACCCCTAGAGCTTTCTGCTTCTAGGAAAAAAGTACTTACTGCCTTTTAAAATCTAGAGTTCTGGAGTGGCACTGGACTTTGCTGGTTTGAACTCAAGGTTGGCAGTTCAAGCTCACCAGCTGCTTCTTGGAAATCCTATGCAGGGTCGCTATGGGTAGGAACCAACTCGACAGCACTTTTAACAACAACCACCCTTTAAAATCTCGTTCAAATTTTATCTTTTCCATTGAGATTTTCAGTCTTTGATAAAGCCTGTATATTATTAAATTACTATAAATGACCCAGCCTCAATTTTGAAGTTGCATGAAATTATACATGCATATGAACAGCACCGTTAGCTCCAATACGCTCAGGACTATTAGGTTGGTGGTTTGAGCTCATCAGCTGCTCTATGGGAGAAAGATGAGGCTTTCTGCTCCTGCAAAGATTTTGAAAGTCTCAGAAACGCTATAAATAATCTCTACTAGTCAAAACTGACTCACCGACACTTAAAAACAATTGTTTGTTGTTGTTTTTAAAGCACTGTCTAGGAGGTTTCGACTCACAGCGATCCTGTATAGGGTTTCCGAGGAGCAGCTGGGCTTCAAAAAGTTCATGGAAAATTTCCATTATTTTTTAATTCAAAGTTTCCACAAACTTTTGAGCCCCTCATACAATTAAAATAAATCTACTGGTAGTCCATTAATCTAGTGGCAACACTGTGTACCAGTACAATTCTACTCTACAGTCTTATGGCAATCAAAGGTCTAATGACAGCCTTGTTGACATCCTGAAAGCTCAGCTTACTCTAATCCTTTTCAATACTCAAAGATAAAACCACTGGGCCTACCCAATACAAGGAGACAGTTGGGTCAGGATTTGAACAGCCCTAACTTGAATATGTAAGAATGTATAGGCTTAAAGTTCAAAGTCTCAAACCAGCTGTAATTCAACTCAAAGCAATCAGAAAGAAGGACAGAATGATGAAGACAGCTTTAATGGAGCTTAAGGGGAAATGAGTAGTTGGGGTGGTTGTTGTAAAGTTGATTTAGATGCATAGCTACCCTGTAGAGAATTTCTGAGGGGTGGCTGAAAAGTTTGAGCCTCCGACCTTTCAGTTAGCAGGCCAGCTGAGGAAAAATACCTAGGCAAATGATATAAAGCAGCCCGCAGCTGGCATATAAACTGGCAGAGAACAAGGAAGAGCTCCTTAGGAGGAAAATAAATTTGGTTTCCTAGCAATATTTTTCTAGCTAGGGCTGAACTGATCCACAGGCAGAGAAGACTGGCTGATTGGTGTGACCAAACAGTTTCCTGCATTCCCTTGCGCCTACTATTCACAAATCCCACTAATGGAAGACAATGAAAACTAGACATCATTTATCCCTTATAGCAATATTAATCAATTCCTTTCCAGACACCAGGTTGAGATACATTATGGATAAGTTTTGATTGGAGAGAGGATAATAAGACACCTTGTTGTTGTTGTTAGGTGCCATCGAGTCGGTACCGACCCATAGAGACCTTACGCACAGCAGAACGAAACACTGCCTGATGATCCTGGGCCAACCTCACTATTGTTGCAAGGCTTGAGCCCATTGATGCTGCCATATTGCCAATCCATCTTGCTGGGGGTCTTCCTCTTTTTCTCTGACCCTCCACCTTACCAAACATGATATCCTTCTCCAGCGACTGGTCCCTCCTGACAATATGTCCAAAGTATAAGTGATGAAGTTTGGCCATCCTGGCCTCCAAGGAGCACTCTGGATACACTTCTTCTAACACAGATCTGTTGGTTCTTTTGGCAGCCCATGGCACTTTCAATATTCTCAAACACCATAACTCAAAAGCATCAATTCTTCTACAGTCTTCCTCATTCACTGTCCAGCTTTCGCATGCATATGAGGTTATTGAAAATACCATGGATTGGGTCAGGCACACCTTAGTCCTCAAGCTGACATCTTTGCTCTTCAACATTTTAAAAAGGTCTTGTGCAGCAGATTTGCCTAATGCAATGTCATTTGATTTCTTGACTGTTGCTTCCATGAGTGTTGCAGACAATATTTTTAAAATATCCTACATTACTCTGCTAAGTGCTCAATAAACCTGTAAGGTGGGAATATTATTTCCAATATATAGATGAAGAAATTTAGATTTAAGATTAAACAAGTTGTCCAACTTCACTTAAATAGTAAGTTTGGGGGAATCAATACTCTAAAATTCAAGTCTGCATGACTCTAAACCACCACTAAAGCAATGTGTCTCAATAAAGGCTGTACAACAGATTTATGGGGCTTCTGAAAAATACATCTTTCCAGATCAGAATTTCTAGAGCAGGTTGGAATCTAGGCACCTGTATAATTAAAAAGCTTTGAGTATGATTCTATGGTATGGCTAGGCTGCAAAGACTGTATGAAATACCTAGAAAGAAGATAGGGAAAGGAAACAGGTAAGATTACGGTGTGGACAGAAAGAATCATTCAAAATGTGATTAGTCAAGACCAGTATCCTAGGTTAGAAGTTTCAAGGAAACTTCTTACAAGAGAGAAGGACCCACTATCTTGAGGAAGAATAAAAAAATGAATGAAACCCTTAATACACTCAATAGGCAAGCCAACAGAAGGGAGCAGGAATAGCAAATTTTCCTCTTCTCCAGCAGTGTAAAGTACTAAAAACCATAAATCATGAAGTTATTAAATGAACCTGGGTTCAAAATCTGGTCCTACTATATAATACTTGAATAACCTTAATAACTACTTAAACTTTCTGAGTCTCTCTTCTTTTGTATTATGAAGATAGTACTAATCTTACAGAGTTCTTATGAGAATTAAATAAAATGTTTATAATGAATGCACTTAGTATAGTGGTGATGGTTGTGTGCCATGGAGTCTGTTCTGACTCATAGCAGCAAAAAGGCAATGGGATGACATAAACAAAACTGTGAAAGAAAAAAAATTGACAACCAAGAATCATGGACCCAGCAAAGCTGCCCTTCAAATATGATGGCAAAATTAGGAGGTTTCCTAATAAACGGAAATTTGTCCTGACCAGATCAGCTTTACAAAGCAAAAAGAAGCTCTAGTGTAGATAGAGAAATTTCAAATGGCAAGGAAGTCAAGTAGATTTCAAGATAAAACAGATTATCTTAAACAGGGAAGCAATTTAAATAAATTACAGGGTAACCTCAAAGGAAATACAACTTCACATCAAAATTAAAAAAGAAAATCAGAAAGATTTAGTAAACAACAGAAATGAAAATGAAAAGAAAACCCACAAAGTGAACTCGGTGCAGAAAATTATGTGGAATAAAGAAGCCAACAGCACCATACACACACAAAAAAAAACCTGCACAGCAAAATGACAGCAATCAATTCATGTTGTTGTTAGTGCCGTCCAGTCAGACCTGACCCATAGTGGCCCTGTCTATAGGGTTTTCAAGGAGCAGCTGGTAGGCTTGAACTTCCAAATTTGTGGTTTGCAGTCCAATGCTTATACACTATACAGCCACACCAGGAATCCACCAATCAATGCATACCTACAGATAACTACACTGACTGTAAATGTATTAAGTGCACCAACCAGTCAAGAGACATGAGAGACCAGGATGGAGAAGAAAGCAGGACCCTTCAATATGCCATCTACAAGAGAAGCATCAAAAATATGAGAGACAGCCTAAATATCCAACAACAGAAGAATGGTTAATCAAACTTTGGTACATGCACTTAATGGAGCACTACAATGTTAATAATAAATCTGCAAAACACCTCACAACATGGATGAACCAGGAGAACATTATGCTGAGTGAAATCAGACACACAAAAGGACAAATATTCCATGAGACCAATGTAAAAAGTTAAGAAAAGGTTTTCTTAATAAAGGACAATCTATGACGGTAACGGGAGGCAATACTAACCACGGACGCTTTACTCTCAGTTCTAGCTCTCCATGGCTATGTCCTTGTTCACGGGCTAGAGAGTAGACACATATTAACATGGGTGACAGGGCAAGTAATATACAACCCGAGGGAGATAAAAAGAGGAAAGATGAAGGTAGTGGGAGTCCCTGGGAGGAATGCAACAGTTAAAAGTGAATAGAGAGAATAGAGATAAATGCTATTAATTGTTGGTATATGGAAGAGATTGCATATGAAGCCACAGATGTTTTGTTGAATGTAAAACTGACAAAATGCTCTGTAAACCTTCACTCAATTCACAATACAAAGCTTCACATGGTAAAGTTAAGTAAACCTTATCTCTTGAAGCTTTTGTTTCACATACATAAGTTTATCTTCTTTTTTGGGGGGAGGGGCCTTTGCACCATCCAGAGACTCCTGATAGGTAATAAAATTATCCCTAATTTACTGATGAGCAAATTGAACTAAAGTGAGGTTAAGTCAACTGATGAAGGTCAACAGTAAGTTTTATCATCTCTAGGTCTCAATTCCTTTAGCTAAACTGGGGACAGGAAGGAGGTATTACACTTGACACAAACTAATCTAGCAACGCTCAATT